GTATATACTTTGGCCCTAAAGTAGTCCCTATTTGGGTACTTTGCGGCCAAAGTATCTACTTTTTGGGTACATGGACCCTTAGGGTACTCAACTTCAGCGTTTGGGGCTCATGGGCTTTAGGACCTACGGTTTAGGTTTAGGGATGTTTAGGCTGCTTAGGGTCCCTGCTATCAATTTCCAGCGACACGGAACACGCAACCCCAATCGCAAAAGATGTGAGCCGCAACAGATTACACGATCAAATCACAAAAAAACTCGTTTTGACTATACAAAGATGTTGGAAAAATGACGATTTTATCGTTTTGCACTGGAAAGGATAGATCCGGGGCTTGGTATATAGATGGCTCTTAGGGTTGCAGGAGATAAAACGGGGATGCAGCATGTAGATTCCTCTTTGCAACCATGCGAGTGAGCCTATACCGAGTTTCCAACCACGTCTTGTATATGCGAATACCAACCACGTAGTCAAAGTAAGTTCGTACAGACAATTCAGCATGTCTTTGAAATTGAAACAGTAGTGGTTCTATCAGTCGTAACCAAAAGCATATCGTCGCAGTATGCGGAATGACAGTTTCGGTTCTTGTTGCTGCCATGCCGACGAAACAATGCAAACTCCGAAGCCCGAATCTTCCCTTTAGGCTTCGCGTTTAGGGTTTTGGAGTTCGACTTCGTTGATCTGCCACTCGATGCTCTATAGGAGAATTTGCTCAACATGTACAACTACCTCATGGACCGTTTGCGAGACAACCTCCATGTTTGCCTTTGCTTCTCGCCGGCGCGGGCCCTGTGGTTTCATGCTTGTTTCTTCAGGGTTGCAGGCCCTGAACCCCGAACCTTGAACCCTAAACCCTAAACCCCTAAACCCTAAACCCTAAACCCCTAAACCCTAAACCCTAAAGTGAGATTCAGGGTTATGGAGGAGCCTGCATAATTAGCAGTAATTGCCATTCCTTGGGGATCCTTTTTTTTATGGTAGCTGTACGATAACTATAGTCTCCATTGTAGTTGTTGTTTTTTCGGGGTTACCTTGTAGGATCCTAGATATAAGATTGGCTAAACCACAAAAAGGGAACTACAATGGAGACTAGAGGTAATCTCCAGATGTTATGGGGGAGACCCCAAATCATAATAAGGATTCCTAAGAAAATATAGAAACCCTACATTCTACTATATAGGTACTTTGCTGGACCCTTTGGGAATGTACCCCAAAACCCTATTCTGATTAGAAGGCTCCACACCACCCAAAGCACCATTCTAGCAGTTAAGGCCCCTGTAGTAGATGCTATAGAGCTGACGCATCGAAAAGGAGCAGACTGTGATCATCTTCGTGCTGTTTTGGGCCTCCTACAGGTTGACGATAGGGCATCGGGACTACCTATAGTCTCCGTTGTAGTTCCTTTTTGGGGTTGCCTTTTAAGATCCTTAATATAGATTTGGTTAAACCAAAAAAAGGAACGGCAATGGAGACTATAGGTAGGGTCCATTTTTTGATGGCTGATACGGTTCACTTGGGGCCTTGGGGGCTTCCAGGGAAACTCGGCTTGAAGCGATGTGCGACGCAGTGTTTAGAGCCCTGGGGCAAGATGGGGGTTTTAGGGTTTAGGGTTTAGAGTGGGTTTAGGGTTTAGGGTTTAGGGTTTAGAGTGGGTTTAGGGTTTAGGGTTTAGGGTTTAGAGTGGGTTTAGGGTTTAGGGTTCAAGGTCTGTCTGAGTGTTTAGGGTTATGAGGGGTTTCGGGTTTAAATTTTAGGGTTATCAGGGGTGTACCCAGGGCTTCAAAGTAGTTCCTTCTTGTGGTTTATATTTAGGATCCTCTAAGGTGATCCCAAAAAGGAACTACTATGGAGCCTATGGGTAGTCTAGTGTTTCGGGGAGGCATGGCCCTCATGATGGGTGCTGACTGTGACTGCGGAGGAGGAGTAATTGGCCATCATGAAGCATCCAGTTGGGTAGTGAGATTAAGATCGTCATGCCGATGCTAGTGATGCTTGCCATTGTGATGATGAAGATGATGATGATGATGATGATGATGCCAGCGGTTCCATTCTCACGGTGGCCATGCATGCATTGGTAGTTGCACGCTCTTGGGCGTAAAAGCGAAGGCTATCCTTTATGAGGACTCCTCCTTGCAGGTCTGACACGGACGGTGAACATGATGGCATGAGTCATCTCATAGTCACCCTAAACCCCTAAACACCTCATCCTTAAACCCCTAAACCCCGCCCCAGTACGGTCGGTCAGGTGAACGCAAAGTTCCCGATCAGAGCCCAGAAGTTCCCTGCGGTCTTCACCGTGAACATCAACTGGCCCTTCGGTCCTGTTAGTCCTAGGTAGGATTAGGGAGACCCCGTAAAGGGGACCCTTCGTAACCCTACTTATGGCTCTCTTAAACGGGATCTTACTGAGAGGGTTTACATCCTCAAAGGTCCCCCCAAAACCTAACTCCAGTTAGGGTTCAAGCTTCAGTGCGCAGGATGTCGTCTTCGATTTGTTTTTGTCGGCGGGTTTTTGAGGAGCTCTGGGTTTAAGGAAGTTATAGGGCTTGACCTATAGTCTCCATTGTAGTTCCTTCTTGGGATTACCTTGTAGGATCCTTAATATAGATTTGGCTAAACCAAAAAAGGAACTACAATGGAGACTATAGGGAGAATTGTGGGGGCATTTAAGCCCGTAGCCGGTGGGAGAGTGTGGTCAGACACCCTAAGCCAAACTCTCTACTTTACATGCTGAAGGCTTTTGCCCTCCATGACTCATGGGTCGTTGGCCGCGGCCCAGGGCCATGCCTTTTCTGTTGAGTGCTGTACGTCTGTTTCGTCTGTCTTCGAGATGCTGGACACGGTGTATCAAGTATGGATCCAGGCTTTCTGGAGTTTACCATGGCCACTTGCCGCACTCTTACGGTCCTAGGTCAAGCATGTCGGTAATGTTATGTTGGCAGATCCTGGTTTGCTCGGACTTCCAAAGACGTGGGGCTTCCCCAAATCCTGCAAAGCCTTGCAAGTCCATAGTGTACCTATAGTCTCCATTGAAGTTGCTTTTGCGGGTTACCTTATAGGATCCTAGATATAATATTCTTAAGCCACAAGAAGGAACTACAATGGAGACTATAGGGTTCGGTGATGTGAGTCACTTAAATCTAAACCTGAAGTGTTTAGGTTTAGAGACTTGAGGCACCTAAATCTAAGCCTTGACCTACCAAAAGCCCGCAGGACCCGCTAGACCCTAGAGCCTGTAAAAACCATGCATGCGCGTCTTTAAGTCTTTGAAGCCACCAACCCTGCAAATCCCAGCCATTAAACCCTAAGCCGCTAGATCCCAAATCAGAAGGTTGAGTTCTCAACTTTAACCCCAATCCGTAAACCCCACGCTCCAAACCCTAAACCCTACACCCCAAAACCCTAAACATTAAACATGAAATCCCCTAGTTCTCATGCACCTATCGAAGAAAGTCTTCGGCAGCCCCCGAGTTCGGTTCCAAGCACCCAACCCCAGGTTCATGCCGTGGCCAGAGGCTGCTCTGGTTGCTGTGAGCAGTGCCTTCCTGAGCACCTACAAGTGGCTCGGAGTCGAGTTTCATCATATAAGGGTTTTGGGTTTAGGTTCTGGGCTTAGGGTTTAGGGGGCAAAATTTAGGATTTGGGTGTGGCGGTTCTAAGGGTTTGGGCTTGGAGCGGTGTTTGAGGGTTAAGGCTAAGGCCTTAGGGCTTACAGCTTAGGGTTGTTTAGGGTCTTTTCGAGATTCCTTACACGGTGTCTATTGGGATGTATAGCTTTTTGGGTGTGGGGTTTCGCATCTGGGGCTAGGGGTTTTGCTCGGGGTGTTCACGCCGTTTAGAGGTTGTGGCTTTTGGTTTGGACATTCTCCGCGATTTCGTGCTCAATCTTACGATAGCCGTCATAGATGCTCCCACTCCGGTCTGAATTGTCTAAACTTCTAAGATTATTCCGTAGGCTTCCTGATTCTATAAGTAAACTTTAATTCCGTGCAGGTTTAGGGCATACAATTCAGTAATCTCCACGTACCCCCCCCCCCCCCCCCCGGAAAACCCAGTAGCTTAGACTCGTGGCAACATTTTTCCTAAAAAAGCAGTGGGCCGAATTGTTAATCTCTCCCGCAGGTAGGATTACCCAAAGCTCGCAGAGGGAGCCATGAATTGAACTCCACCTGCCTGCAGAACATGATCTGGACCTGGGCAGGTTGGACTGCTCCGAGTCTGACAAAGGACGGCACGGTGTGATTTGGGAGTTTCCCAAAACAGGGGGNNCTTATTTTGGGGTCCTTATAATTATAATAAGGATCCTACTATCTGGGGTACTATATTCGGGTCCCCTATTTTCGGAAACTCTCATTTAATGGGTTCGGGGTCTTGTCCACCCGCCACTGACTAGCGATGCAGGGTAATTTAGCAGCGAGCCACCTTTGGTCCGTCATTACTACTATCATAATCATCATGGTCGTGGTCATCACCATCATCATCATCGTCGTCATGTTCATCTTCGTCTCCATCATCATCGTTGGCGCCATCATGACCATCAAGATAATCATGTTTACCCTTGCGGCTTCCACTGTCCTACCATCATCATTATCCTTGCCGCAATGGTGCTTCTGCTTGAACTATGGCTGCCATGCCGACGGACAACGACGACCCACAAACCAACGACAACAGTACAACTACATGCAGCGGTAACAACAGTAAAACCATGTCGATAGCATCAAACGACAAAGTGTTCGTAACGCTGGTGTTAACACTACTTGCCATACAAGCCGCTCAGCCCTAGAAGCCCTGACGATAGCAGACTCAGAAGAGAAAGTTCGATGCAGGACGTCTCTTTGCCCTGACCGGCTCCTTCCAGGCTATGAGCCTTCCACATGTGAGTTGTGTTTTCTGTTGCGCGGTTTAGACTGTAGGATCTAGGGTTCAGAGTTTTCGATTTAGGGTCTAGAGTTCGGCGTGAAGGGTTTAGGGATTGAAAGTCCGCTCACGATGTAAAGGTCTTATTGGATGGATAAGGGTTTCTCACATGGTCAGAGATAAGTGGGAAAGGTGATAGACAAGAGCAGAACCTGCCTGATAGCGATTTGGGGGCAGGTATCGTTCAGAATCTTTGAACAACCCCTAAGGGTCCATGTGCCCAAATAGTAGATACTTTGGCCCCAAAGTACCCAAATAGGGACTACTTTAGGGCCAAAGTATATACTATTTGGGTACATGGACCCTGAGGGAACTACCATTGTCTAGGACATAGGGTTCCAGGCTCGGGGGTAGGGTCTAGGGCTCGTTGATCAGGGCGTACCTAAACCAACAAAAGTAGGCAAAATAATGGTCCAACACCAGTAAACGTCTCTTATGCTACTAATATTTTTCGGGTCATGGTAAGAGTTTGGGTTTTTAGGGCATATGTAAGGGCTGAGGGCTTAGCAGGTGATTCGGATCTCGCGGCCGAGTGATATCTGGAGCAAATAGACTCAATCTTCCATTGTGATGCCCACCTCCATAGCTAGATGTAGCATCAAAACACTTGAGAACCCCCTCCTAGCCTTGGCCTGAACCCTAAACCAGTCTTGCAAGGCTTCTGACATTCAGCGAATCACCATGATGGTAGCCATAGTAACAAGAGCTAATTCGAATCTCGGGTAAGCAGTGTACTCCTACTCACCAATCGTAGCAGTGATCATGTGTGGTTGGTCCCCGGCGCAGGCCCTGACGCGAGACCTGTGCGACGTTTACTACTCGCGTGCCTTGGGCTCGTGATCCGCAGGGTTCCCAAATCCTAACTTCAACTCCTAAACCCCAAATCCCAAACCCTAGACCCTAAACCCTAAACTCGAATCCCAACCACCAACCCCGAACCCTTAGCCTAACCCCGAAGCCTAAATCCTAAACCCAAACCCTATGCCTATACCCTATACCCTATAAACCCTAAACCCCGAAGCCTAAATCCTAAACTCTAACCCGGTTTTAGACATCTCTTATAGCCCGAGAGTCGAACCCCAAGCCCTGAAACATCCTAAAACGAGGGTTAAGGGTTTTAGGGTTTTAGGGTTTAGTGGTTTAGGGATTTAGGGTTTAGGGTTTAGGGGTTTAGGGGTTTAAGATCACCGTGAGGCATGCGAAAAAATGTCTACGTCACCCCAAAGAGCTTCCTGTGCCTCATCGACTTCTACAAGGTACTTTACGCCGGGGCCTTGGGATGATGTAGTTTTCGGGCCTGATACCCTAAACCCTAAACCCTAAACAACAAGGGTTTAGGGTTTAGGGTTTTACGGTTTAAGGTTTGGGGTTTAGGGTTTAAGGGTTCTAGCCCCAACGGTCCTAGGGACTGTTCTGGGGAAGACTTTGCCTTACCTAAAGGCCTAAAGGCTCCAAAGTAGCTCTCTCGGTTAATTCAATGGTTTAGGGTTTCAGGGCTCCTTTCAGGGTTCCTAAGCACTGCTTTGGTCGAATGTAGGATCTATATTAGGAATCCTTGTTATGGTTTGGGTTCCAAAGCTCAGGGTGCAGGGTTGTGAATTTGGGAAGCACAGCTTCATCTTAGTAGCTGAATAGTTTACCTTTAACCTTTTGGGGCGTCTATAATTCCTACCACGCTTGAAAAGCTTAACCTTTTTTTGGAGCTAGCGCACTCTGCTCCTAAGTAATTGCTTTGGGTCCAAACCAAAGATTTGAAGTTCACGATAGCCCCGCAGCAGCTTCAGGATACCCATAGGCTCCATTGTAGTTCCGTTTTGAGTTTACCTTTATAGGATTCCAAATATACACCACGGAAAGGAACTACCCTAAACCCCAAACCTTAAACCCTAAACTCCAAACCCTAAACCCTAAATGCTAAATCCTAAACCCTAAACCCTAAATCCTAAGTTCAAAACCCAAAACCCTTAACCCTAAATCCTAAACCATAATGGAGCCTATGGATAGTCACTGGACCTCCTGCGACTCTGCTTGGACTGAGGCCTCTCAGCTTCCTTTTTAAGACCAAGAACCGGAGAAGAGTTTGAGGATTTAGGGTTTAGGGGTGTAGGGTTTAGAGTTTTAGGGTTGAGGCGTTAGGGTTTAGGGGTCAGTTTAGGAGTTATAGGGTTTAGGGGTTAGGGTTTAGGATTTAGGGTTAGGGGTTGTGGGGTTAAGGGTTAGGGTTTGTGTAGGGGTTTGCATTTCGAGATATCCGGAGTTTAGGGTGCAGGGATGAGTCAATCAGCCCGATCCCGGACTTTGTTGAACGGCACATCTAGAACGTTTACCCTTCCACACTGGAGCTGCTCAGAAACCAGAGGCTGTCAGCAAAGCTGTGGAGTTACTTGTTCAAGAACTCGAAATACCATGCCCTAGGACTCTCAACCCTAAGCCCTTAGCCCGAAATCGTCAGCCCTGAACCCGAAACCCAACCGAAACCCACCAGGCACGCAAGCATTCTCAGGCCATCAAATACGAAGAGATCAACGTGCAGGAGAGGAGTGTCAACGTGGGCCTGCAGAAGTTGAAAGAGGCCTGCGCTTGACGGCGTCGGGTGCGACGCGTCCATACATACATATGACACACACACATATATATATATATATAAAAGTGTGTGTGCCCATGTGCAAACAAAAATGAAGGGTTAAATAAGCATATCGTATACACACATACAAATATATATATATATATGTATATGTATTTATATTTATTTATTTATATGTATTTATTTATGTGTTTATTTATTTGTGTGTGGGTACACGTACGTCTCTCTATCTCTCTCTCTCTCTCTGTCTCTATATACATATATATATATACATGTATACACATACATACATACATATATACACATACATTATATGTAGGTTTATCGTACAACTACCACAAAATACATGGATTGGCAACACACGCTAGGGCGCGTTTGTTGGCTTTGCTTGAGGGCATGGGTAGGAGTCGCAAAAGGATCGGCAAAACCCTAAACCCTAAACCCCTAAACCCTAAACCCTAAATCTAGGCCGAGGTCAAAGCGGGGCCCGTTCGGGAGATTCGGGGTTTCAGGATGTGGGTTTTAGGGTTCAGGGTTTTGGGTTTTGGGGTTTGGGGTTTAGGGTCTAGGGTTTAAGGTTAAGGGTTTCGGCGTGTCGGTGTTTTGAATTTAGTTTTGTGAGGTTTAGGGTTTCGGGTTTAGGGTGTTAGGGTTTAAGGGCTTTTTGTTCTGGGATGCAGCTTGGTCAGGTTGCTTGGGCAAGATGGCTTCGTCAAAAGATGGTCCCATGTCGTTCCATGTAGTTTCATGGCCTCATCAAGGTGAACGGTAACCTATAGGTACCGGAACCCTCCCTAAACCCTAAATCTAAACCCTAAACCCTAAACCGTCACATGCCAGACCTTCCTGGTTGAGAACACTCTTGTGTGAAGAAAGTGGGACAAACCCCTACCCTACACTCGAAATTTGTGGGCTTGGAGGAAAGCTGCAAGCAGGTCCGAAATCCTTGGCCCTCGATCCAAGGCTTTGCGTTTCAGCTCTTAGGTCACATAACTACCCATAGGCTCCAAAGTAGTTCCTTTTTATGGTTCATATTTAGAATCCTATAAGGAAATCCCCAAAAGGAACTACTAAGGAGCCTATGGGTAAGAACTTGGGGTGCACGAGTCTAGGGCCTAGGGTGTAGGATGGTGTCCTATGTTTGCCCGTCGCTTGTTAGACGGCTTGCCATCAAGCTTCAGCCGCCGCGCGCGTCGTAGTCGCACAGTTCTCCCAGCTATCATGCACAAATCTTCCAAGCCGTTATCCGACAAAAGCAGAACTCTCAATGCCTTCAGACCTGACTCGAAATCCATCGAAGCACTTCTGCGTGGTAGGACTCCCACCTTCAATCTTAAAACCCCGAGACCCCTAAATACCCCGAGATCCCGAAACCATAAACCCCTACACCCTAAAACCCCGAAACCCCTACACCGTAAACGCCAAACCACTGAATCCTAAACCCCGAAACCCCTAAAACCCCTAAACCCGAAACCATTTGGGGAAGGATCCCTTAAAGGGACCTTGAAGCTACGAAGATGCAGGGCCCCAGCCCCGATCTCCACGTGGGGCGATTTTCTTTGGTTTAGGGTTTAGGGTTTAGGGTTTAGGCGTTTTATGGCTTATAGGGTCTATAGGGTTCAGCGACTCAACTTTGAAAAAATTGCGGTTCAGAGTTTCGTGCTCTCTCAGAATCCCAGGAAGCGACTCTTGTTCAGGACCCACCCAAGGAATGAATGCGCACAAGCCCAGAGAGCCCAATACCCCTTAATTAAGGAATATACCGGTACCTTAAATCACAACACTAAGGCCCCGGTAACTTAAGGTATATTCCGTATTTAAGGGGTATTGCGCTCTCTAAACCCTAAGCCCTAAGCCTTAGGTATATTCCGTCTTTAAGGGGGTATTGGGCTCTCTGGGAGACGATCTGAAGCTGGAGCCAGGCTTCTGAGTTCGTGGAGAAGCTAAAGGCAAGGCACCCGAGAGCACAAATAAAGCATGGTATCATAGAGATATGTCCACAGGCCCCTCAGTAGCTCCTTTTTGGGATTACCTTATAAGATTCTACATTTAAGCATGGTATCATAGAGATACGGTTGATGGTATAAATCCTGCATTACCCACAACAGGGAAGATACCATAATTCCCATAGTTTAGGGTTCTTAAGGTCATGCAGGATTTATATCATCAACAGTACTGAGACCCCGTGGCACGGAAATGATGAAGTGCAGCGACAAGACTTCCGCAACAACTCGAAACGACGCCACGAGATCATCACATGCCTATAGACAACACATGTCCATAATATGTTTGCAACAGTTGATCTAAGTAAGGATTTTGGACTTGGCTCTTTGGTGTTGATTGTAAAGCCTGGAGCGGTGAAGTTTACCCTCTAAACTCAGTCCTAGTGCAATGCAAGCAACCGGTGAAGCTACCGTTGTCTGGGCTTTTGGGTTTAGGCTTCTTGGCCGGTTTAACCTGCGCAGATGGAGGGTGTAGGGTATCGTCTCTATAGACATCCGAGGGCTTCGAGGTTTCACATTTCCATGTTTGTGGAGGAGACTCTAGGGCACGGTCAGTAGCATCAGATCCGCTGAGGATTGGTCCCATCCTCCTTGAACATAGAAGAGAGGTTCGAACACCGAGAACTCTGTCAAGGTTCGCTGTGTATACTGTCCTTCTGGAGCAGCGCTACATTGAACCGCAAAACTCTGATTCTCTTGACTTCCTAAATCCTAAAACCCTGCAGAGTTACCATTTAGGACTTCGATCTTTGGATTATGCTGACTTGCAGTAGTGTTTGAGTGCTGTGTTGTTTCAAGGTCTTAGAATCAACAACGAAGCGTAAAACCCGAAATTCCTCAGCCCAAAACCCTAAGCCGTCAACCCTAAACCCTGTACCCGTATAGGACCCTTACGGTGACTCGTAAAGATCCGTTGAAGGATAAGGATCCTGAACTGAGGGTAGCCCCCAGGCCCTGAGCCCTAAAACCCGAAACCCCAAACCCCGGAATGTGGGTTTCCGAAAATTAGGGGTGCCTT